CATAAACATGTTCCCCATTTGGCCCACGAAGGCCCACAGCAACTTAGTCCAAGAAGTGGCCCAAGAAGAACCCAAACCCAATTAGGGTTTTTCACATAAAATAACGATTAGGGTTAAGTGTTCTTACTTAACCCATTAAGGACTTAATCCATTAAGTCAACCACTCCACTAGTCCAAACATACAATATGGTCGGGTGTAATTCAAAATTCCAAATCCAATGGTCCAAACGCGGGTCCCGACAAATCCAAAACTCACATTTCCAAAATTAGGGTTTTCTAAACCCTAATTAGGGTTTCCAACCCAATCGTGTGCCAATTAGTCAATGGTTAGGTTTTTAGCTCAATTAGGGCTAAATAAGTCGGGCACCACCCACTACCACCTCGGGTAGTGGTGGTCAACGGCGGCGACCACCACCTCGAGGTAGTGGTTAAGATTTTTGGCTAAAAATGTCCAATCATCCCAAAAGAACAATCACACACACAAAAGCACACGGCCACCCAAGGTGGCGGCTGGTGGCGGCAGAATGGCGGCGTGAGGTGGCAACCACCACCTCACGGCGGTGACGGGTTGTTTTCCTTGAATAATCCGGCCATACAATGTACATACAACAAAATGTACAAAATAAAACACACAATAAAATACACACACTAAGCCACCCACGTGGCAGCAGGCGGTGGTTGGAGGTGACAGCCACCACCTCACGGTGGTGGTGATGGCTTTTCTTCGGTTTTCTGGCCGAGGTACACCCATACAACCTCCTGAATGCTAAAAACACAACGCAAACACGTCCCCTTGACACAAACACATCACATTACAGCAACAAACACACACCCGATGGCGAAAATCGAACACAATCGTCCTTCACAGTGGCGTGCGGCGGTCACGGCGATAGGCAGCAGCTCACGGCGACCTCTCGGAGCGGCGTTGGCGGCGATGGCGCGTCAACAGATGGCGAAAGGTGGTCGGAGTGGCACCGACGACTGTCGTGATGCATCTGTGGATGGCGATAGAAGGTAGGAGAAGAATAAGGAATGAAGGAAGGAAGGAAGGAAAGGAAGGCAGGTGGCGGACGCACCCAGCATTCATGTCATCGACTTGTTCTCGCCGGAAGGTGTGACGCCCGACGGCTTGACTGATCGGAGAACGAGTGAAACGGTGGTGGCGGCTGAGAGGTGAAGGGAGGCATAAGGGTGGCGGCTGAAGGCTTATTAGGGTTAGGGTTAACATGGCGAGAAGGTGACGGGTTTTATATGCCCGATCGTGTGCCCTTTTCCATACTTTTACACTTTCAGCCCCTCCGTGTCAATCCTTTTCAACTTAAGTACGAAATTTTCCAAACAGCCCCCAGCATTCCAAAATCCTTTCAATCTAAGTCCAACATTTACCAAACGCCCCCTGACTTCTAAAAATCCTTGCAAAACCAATCCGGAACTTACACTTTAACCCCCAAAATCCAAAATTATGACATTTAACTCCTCGAAACCAATACCTTGCTAAATTATTATTGATTTTTGCTACAATAATATAAAATAATAATAAAATTTACATCTCAGGGTTATTAGAGTTTATTTCTTATTTAATTTCAAACGGAATGTTACAATTAGCAAATGTGTTAGATCAATGAGGGTCATGTCATGATCTGTCATATAGTAGTCCTTAACAAACTGACTATATGACTCAGGAAGCGATTGAAGAACCAAGTAACAATCATCTTCATTGGGAAAATGACACCCAACATCCCTAGTTTATCAATGTGCGACTTCATCTCCAAGACGTGTGCACACACAAACCTTCCATCTTGGTGTTTGCATGCCAATAGAGCTTGAGTCACCTTGAACTTTTCAAGTCGACGAAAACGTGGATCAGGGAGAATCATGGGAGGTGGTGGAGGAAGAGAAGTATGATTTCCATTTCCACCATTGCACGAAGAAGGGATCGATCTTTCACCTTCATCGTTACGTGGAAGATCATCTTCAGACGAAAAGCCTTTTTCAAAGGATTGAGGAAGACCATAATTGTCAGAACTAGACATCTACAAAAAGGAGAAATTCAAGTCAGTTGATACAATCCTTAATACAACACCCAAATGAAATATTAAGGCTAGGACCCAACACAATAATTCACAATTCGGAAGAGGGATGCTGTAATCCAATTGCAAATTATTTGAAGGTAGGTAAATGACGATTTACCAATTCCGCCACGAAAACAAAATTTTTTTAAACGGATTAGGTTTTAAATGAAATTCCTAGATCTTTGAGATTCATTGAACTTTTCAATGGCATGTTTAATATCGATTATGCCCTTCAAGTTTGTGACTGGGATACCGAGGATCACAAACAATGTGTGAATAACCATGCAAATTAGCTTGGTACTCTCGATGTCATTTATCACCAAATCAATGTGCTGGTTAGCCACACACGCTCCATCAATTTATGATAATTTACGAGAAACCCATCGACATCCTTCATTAGTCCACATTAGTGTGTCAGTTAACCACACACGTTCCACTAACTGACCAATAAGGTGCAATGTGCAATTTCATGGGTTAGCATCAAATTCATATTTTCCTAAAGTAACTAAGATTGGGAATTTATATAAGGGTTTAGTTACTTTCTATTTTAATTATACTTATTAATGAGAGTTTGTGTCCTATCATACCCGTTCGGCTAACAACCCTCCACTAGTCAAGGGTGCGGTGGGTAAGAGTAGATACCCAATGGCGGTCATTTTACAGGTCGCTTCCTTAAACACCCATTATAGACCAGCTTCGTGAATGAGGTCTATTAACGGTAAGATTGACCTTTTCTTATACACACACACACATATATATATATATATATATATATATATATATATATATATATATATATATATATATATATATATATATATATAAATTAAACTTTTAATATTATAATGGTATAAGGGTGTATTTTAAACTTTTAAAATACTAGGTGGTTTAATCTTTTAATAAATTAAGCTTTTAATTTAATTAATTTTAAACCATGTCAAGGAATAATTAATTATCTCTTAATTAATCTTTTAATTAAATTATTAATAAAACCATGAGGGTGTATTTTTTAAACTTTTAAAACACTAGGGTTTTAGAATTTAATAGTTCATAACTAAAACTTTTAATCAAATTTTAAATTCCAAAACTTGAGGTTAAATTTTGAAACTTTTCAAAATTTCTAGATCAAATTTAAAACAATTAAGTTAATCATATAATTTTATCTTTATCATAAATTTGACCTAATCCAATTTATTTGGTAAGAAAATTCAAATCAAATTTTACAAATAATTAATTTATCACATAATCTTGTAATTATCTTAAAATTTGACAATTATCCTTTAATTAGATGAGGATATCCATTATCATATTACAAAATTCGAATTTAATCAATAAAAACAAATTATGGTACTTATCCAAATCTAATTTAGGCCAAAATCTGAAAATCTTCCAACAAACCCGATGCCACGTCGTGACAGGCCATGACACGTCGTGAAGCCCAACACGTCGTGTTCAACTATGAACACGTCGTGTTCATCAGGCAGAAACCAAAATCGAAAATTTTTTCAGCTTTGAAAACTTTACAACTACATCATATAACAGAAAAACACCCTAGGCTCTTATACCACTTATGGGTTTTAAGCATTACAACATTCCTATGGTGCACATGCAACCCTATTTGCTTTAGATCTAGGTTTTTCTCAAGTTATACATGCAAATTAATTATCCAAAGCAAAACCCTAATCTAGCATACTATTTTCGAAATTCACATATGAAATAGGGTTAGAAAATTACCTCACTTGTTATATTTTAATAACAAGAACAATTCTTGACATTTGAAAGCTTAGTGCCCCAAGTGTTACACCTCTAATTGAGTTACAAACACTCAACACAACAAGGATGAAGGAGAGAGGAGGAAAATCGGCCACCTTAGGGTTTCTTAAGCTTAGGGCCGAAATTCCTTGGTCTTGGGGTCTATTTATACTTGTGACTGCTAGGGTTTCAGGTGGAAACCCTAATTTGACTGCTTAAGCCTTAATCAGCCCATGGACACCTTCTAGAATACTCCTTGGACGAATTCTCTACGGGCTTACCATAGAATTCGTCCAACCTTATCTTCCAAGGTGATCCATCAGCCCAATTGCAACTATCAGTGATTTGCAATATCAATCCTCATTCATTTAATAAGTCTCTTTTGATCACTAAATTAATTTCTAATCAATATTAATTAAATAATATGATTTTCAAATAATATATTAATCTTATAATATATTAATAAAATCATTATGAATACCAATTTATTATTCATATAATAAATATTACTCTCTCTCTCTCTCTCCACTTGTCATTCTATCAAGTTGCACGAGTGAAGGCAACTCAAAAGAACCATGCTCATAATCAAATCAAGAACATACCAAAAATAGTTATGGGCTTAGACACCTAATCCAACAGATTATGAGCCTACTATTGTTATGTTGTATGTGTGATGGAAGATGTGGTGTATTGGAGAACTCACCAATCCTTGTGTTTACGTTTTAAAGTTAAATGTTTTCAAGTTGTTCCGGTGAAAAATGATGTGTCACCTTGTTTTGAGACTTCCGATGTTTTCACGATACCACTCTCATTTGAAGTTATGTTTTTATGATATTTAAACAAATGGAATTCTAATGTCCTTTTGAAAATATGATTTTGGAATTGTCTTGAATCATAATTGAAGGAACGATGCTAAGGGTGATTGGTGACTAATGGTTCCGACTATTTGATCGTATTTTTCTCCCAGAGCGTTGATCAGATATGTCACCAAGTCTTTCTTGAGGATGGAGTTCATTAATATTAAATAAGCAAGTCGGAAATCACCTTGTAACATACTCCCAAAAAATGTGTAGCTTTAACCAAAATCGAAGATGACTCACTGGTAAACAGTATCGCTACATATTCATAATTTCTTAATGCTTTCAAACACTAGAAAAAAAAAAAAAAAAAAAAAAAATAGAGTCCCAACAGATTTCAACTAACTCATTTCTGAGAAGTTGTCTGAACAGGTTCAACCACCTCTGCTTCCAGCGTCTGTTGTGGTTCAGACACTACTACTTCACCCTCTTGCGCTTCCGGAAGCTTCCATTTGTTTGATAAGGCCATGTTCATCATCTCATAAATCTTTCCCCCAAAATGCGACGGGCTCTCAGGCTATGCATATAAAAATTATTTCAGTAATTTACAAATTTGGTACCCAAAGTTTCCAACTTTTACCATGTTTAGTCCAAACTTAAATTTCTTTTAAAATTAGCTCCTTGTGTTATTGTTTCATATCAATTTTGGTCCTTAGAACCTTGAACTAAGTGCCAAAATCAATATGAAACTTACTCCAATTTCGGACCAAAACGGTAAATTTCAAAAAGCACAGGGACCATTTTTAACAAATCAACGAAAATTATATCACTCACAGTGAAACCACTAGAAATCAAGGCAGTATCATATAAAAGGTCAATAGCTCTCATTGCCTCATCATCATCAGCATTACTCCTGCAAGCCTCCTGCATAATTTCATAAATAAAAAAATATATAATTACATTCCAATTTTAAATAAAATAAAAAAACATTTTTTAAAAATCATACAGTCAATGTCTGAATGATTGGATGTTCCGGATTAATCTCAAACACCCTCCTACTTCTCATGAAATCCAAGCTAGACGAGTCTCCAACCGTCTGTGCCTTCATCAACCTAGGATTTCACAAAAACATTTAAAAAAAACAAAAAATCTCGCAAGTTATTTTTTTATAAAAAATAAATAAAAAATCATACCTTTCCATGTTGGCAGACCAACCGAACTTTCCGGAAACAAGTACACAAGGGGAAGCTTTTAACCGATTTGAAATTTGTACACTTGCAACCTTGTCACCCAAACGTTTTTTCATCCAATCACAAACATGTCCAAATTCTTGTTTCATTTCTTTTTCCTTTTCCTCATTTTTGTCACCTAAAAAAGTAAAATAACAACTTTAGCAATAAATAAAAATAATCTTCTAGGTTTTGAGTTTTCAAGACTAACTAACCAATATCCAAGTCTTCCTTGCTGATGTCAACAAAGTTCTTTTCTTTATATGATTTAAGATTTGTAACAGCAACTTCATCGATAGGGTCAACTAAAAACAATACCTGTAAGAGAATCGAATAGTTATTAAATAAGTAAAACGACAATCTCAAAAATATTAATTTTTTTTTTTTTTGTAAACTTACTTCGAGATCTTTCTCATAGAGTCTTTCAAGGAAAGGTGTGTTTTTTGCACTTGTGACACTATCAGCAGCAATGTAGTAAATATCTTTTTGTTCAGGTTTCATGTTTTCCACATATTCATCTAAACTTATCATTTCTTCTTCACTTTGTGAAGAGAAAAATCGAAGCAATGGAGCAAGTCTTTTATGGTTTTCACGATCTTCAATGCATCCTAATTTCAAATGCTTCCCGAAATTCTCCCAGAATTTTTCATAATCCTAAAATAAAAAATTTTAAATTTTTAAAAAAAATGAACTTTATAAAAGAATGAAAAAAGATATAAAATTACCTCTCGGTTTTCACTCATGGATATGCCAAGAATCATGTCGAATGCCTTTCGGACCAATCGTTTCCTCATTATCCGTACCTTTTATTTGAAAAAATTAAATTTAATAAAAGATTTATTTTTAAAATCCAAATAAATTTAAAGGAAAAGAATATTAAATGCACTTACAACTCGGCTTTCTTGGAGGATTTCACGTGATACATTCAAGGGAAGATCATTGGAGTCAACAACACCTTTCACAAAGCTTAGGTATCGTGGAAACTAAATCAATATATAAAAAGAAAAATAAAAAAAGGTTAAAACCAAAAATATAAAAATTTACGTTTTTGTCCCTAGAAAGTAAAATCTTTACCAATTCTCCATCAAAGTCATCTGAAATGAAGACACGTTTGACATAGAGTCTTATGTTCTTGGTTTTTGGATTGGCAATGTCTTCTTTCCCCATGGGAGTGACAGCTGGCACATACAGAATGGATCTGAACTCCACCTCTCCCTGTAATTTATCAAATATTATTTACATATAATATAAAATAAAAGAAAAATTGACACAAAAAGATTGCAATTTTCACCTCTGTTGTGAAGTGTGAAGAAGCTAAAGGTTCTACATATTCATTAAAAGTCTTCTTGTAGAATTCATTATATTCCTCTGTTGTAACTTCCTTAGGGTTTCTAAGCTGCAAAAAGAAAAATAAATAAATAAATAAATAAATAACATTTTCACAAAATTTGAAAATTATTTAAAAAACATAAACCTTTAAAAACTTACCCATATGGGTTGTGTCTCATTAGTGAGATCCCACTCCCAGTATTTCTCAACAACTTTCTTAGTTTTCTTCTTTTTCTGTTACAAAAAATAACATTAGATAGAATTTATTTAAAAAAAAAACAAAAAAACAAAAAACCCTTACAGCAACATTGTCATCAGTCTCATCTTTTTTGGATTCAGAAGGATCTTCATCAACTTCAATCTCTTTTGTGTATCCCTTTTCTTGCCATGTGTAAATTGGAAATGACACAAATTGTGAATAATTTTTAATAAGTCTCTCAATTTTTTCTGGATGAGCAAACCCTTTATCATCACGCTGATAAAAAAAATGAAGAATTGTGTTGTTATAGAATTGATGATGAGAAATTAGTCAAATTACATAAACAAAAAAAGATAAAATGGTTTTTTATTTTTATATGAATACTTTTAGATGTAATGTGATGCAAGATCCTCTAGGAATGAACTTTTCAGGATCAGTCTCTTCTCGGATAATATAAGAGTCAGAATTTGCTTCTCCTTCCCAAACGTATTGCTTATCAGACTTTGGACTTTTTGTTGAGACAACCACCTGTTGTTATTATTATTATTATATAAATTAATTCATGGTGTTCTATAAAAAAAAGTAAATAAAGGGTTGAAAGATGACCATACTTTATCAGCAACTAAGAAAGCAGAATAAAATCCCACACCAAATTGACCAATCAAATTGCTGTCTGAACCAGCTTCTTTGCTATCCTGTGATTTGTGTAAGTATATTATTTATAATTCTCAAAATAAAATATTTATATATGCTGATAAATACAATAAATCATAAAAGCATATACCTTTAAGGCTTTGAGAAACTTAGCAGTTCCACTATGGGCAATTGTTCCAAGAGAGTCAACTAGTTCTTGGTGAGTCATACCAATACCAGAGTCCCTGAATACACATATGGAAATTAGCAATTTTTCAACTAAATTTTCTTTTAATTAAGATTCTTAACTTACTGAATGGTAATTATTCCATTTTCTTGATCGGTTTTAATACGTATGTCAAGTTCTGAAGCACCCTCCAAAAAGCTGTTGATCAGTAACACTAAGGAATCGAAGCTTGTCCAAGGCATCACTTGCATTGCTGAAAGTATGAAAGTTTTTTATTTATGTAATTGTTAGATGAATAGATGATCAACATAAGGGCTTAAAAGTAAATTAGAAAATTTGCAAAAGTTTGAAACTTGCCTGATAAGTTCACGAAGGAAGACCTCTTTGTTGCTGTATAGACTGTTAACTATAAGGTCCATAAGCCGACTTACCTGCAGCATAAACATGAGCATCATGATTCTTGATGATACTCAACTTTGTATCATAAAAATAAAAAAAATAAAAAAGTAAGACATATGGTTTCCATTTAACACACCTCTGCTTGATATTCATACTTCTCCACGGGTGGATTGGGTGTTTGAAAGTCAGATACTGTTGACTCATACCGTTTCCCAGTTGAAAGCATGTTTCCTAATTTCAAAGGCTTTGTGGAAGCAGGCCCACTGCTTGTTGCAGTTGATAAAACAGAGTACCATCTGCCATTGGCATTCCTCTCTCCACTCTGTTCATGTCAAGTATATCAAGAAGATAAGTGACAAATACTTTTTGAGCTAATTGATGATATAAAACCATTTGAAAAATAATCGGCAGGGGATCCATAAGATAGACGATATGCGCCACTAGGCAAGCTTTCCATTACACCATTAACTTTGTGTAAGAAGCTGAAGGGATTTACGTAACTATGATAGAAAAACTCATCGAACTCCAAAGGTGATCCTGTTAGAGGAATACCTTCAGCTAGCCCTCACCCATGTTTATTAAAAAAAAAAGTTTTTTTTGAACGGATAAAGTGTCATATGGAAGCAAACAAATCAATCCAACGAAAATTCTCGAACGAAATGAAGAAACCACATCACTCACTTTGTGATCACGAAAAATGGTACACAGCCTAACGGCAATGACGTCTAACAATACATACAATGATACAAACATACAGAAAGCTGATGCTGGTAGGAGATGAAAACAGATTTAAGAAAAATCATACCGATTCGTTGATATTAAAAGAACCAATGGATGCCCCAGCCACTGCATCGCGGCGGAGATGGCCACCGTAACGGAGGAGAGAGTTCACAGAACGCCTAGATAGCCTGTGCATATTTGTGGAATCGAAGCTAACAGAGACGAAATGGAAAGGTTCTCCGAGACTGCGCAAGGGTTTTGATAGGGTTTCAGGGGAAATAGGGGTTTAAGGAAGCTTCTGGAGATGGGCGTTCTTGTAAACCCGACCTGTATGGATTCGTATATTTTATTTCTATATCTCGAATAACAGCATATTTCTAACTTCTTTTATTTTTAAGTAATGTATATTAATTTTTTCTTGTAATAAATTGTAAGGTATGTTGTTATTTCACAAAAACAAAACAAAAAAATAACTACATAAAAAACGAATATATACATACAAAAATAAATTACTTGTGCAAAAATTAAATAAGAGTATTTTACTATTTTAAATAATTAGTAAAAAAACTATATAAACCCTAACATGAATAAAAGTAAAACACTTCAAACTATAAGGAAAAGATTTTAAGCACCTTATATTCATTTTAAAATATATTGAATTTTGACCCATTTTTGCTCGTTGGGATTGGTCAAAATAGCTTAGAATATAACATTATTCTCGTCTATTCGGGACGGGGCAGACAGCCCACATACATGAAGAGAAGTATAGAGAGGGGGTTATCCTGATCAAAACCCTCCACACCCCACGATGGATTTACAATTTGTATTTTTCCTGTTAGTCCATAAGGATTGGACACCCGTATGTCAGGACCATACAAACCTGTTACGTGAAATGCACCAAAACCAAAGCAAGCCACACCTACAAGAAATAAATATATTCCAGAGATTTTGGGCAAATCCAAAGAAGGTTTTCCTGTACGTTCATCTAAAAATATTTCTGGATCCCAATACATCCAATGTCGATGATCAAAACAGAGATATTTCAGACAGATGAAAAATGGTCTCTAAGGCTCTTTAAATAATTAAATAGTTTATAATATAATATTATTCTTTAAATAATTAAAATTCGAACTTTATGAAATCACATACAAAAACAAACTTTTGAAGCAAATTGATATGAGGACCCATTTCTTCGAAGGTAAGAGTTGATCAAAGGCTCCTATTCTTCGGAGGAGAAAACTAAAAGTCTTCAGAGTGGGATGTTAGAGGTTTCTGAGTAAGTTATATACATGGTATCAGCTTTATTGTAAGTATGGGGGCTGACGCTAGATCAATATACGAAGCAAAAAGTAACTCCTCGGTCGCAACTATGATCGCCAAACGACCCTTAAAACGAGACATTGCATGTAAAATCATCAGGGAAATTGTCATAAAAGCCCTTAAGTTTTCCAAAAAATGTCGGTTTTACCCTTGGATGAGTTTTTGGGGTATTAAAGTCGGATACTTTCACTAAATGTATCAAATATCTCATTTAACAGGTTGGACCCTTAGTAGCCGGTTACCCATGTGCTGATTTGGCACTTTAGGTGACATGTCAAACAACATGGGCCCCATTTTATAACCCTCTCCCACATAACCCTTCCCCCTTGTTTCTTGCATCCTCTCACACCGCAGTATTCTCCCACGCAAAATGCCAACATCTTCTGCAAAATCAAGCTCGAATGTGAATTCATGATTCAAGAAGAAGATCGAAGTGAAGTGTTGGTGTGAAGATTTATGCCATGTGTTTGTTTCACGTACACCAGAAAATTCAGGCAAGAAATTTTGGGGGTGCCCTAATTATAAGGTAAAAATCATTTTTTCCTTTTCTTTAGTAGGATTGCAGTAAGGGTATTATGCATTGACCTAATTATGTAGGGGGGAGGAGGTTGTGGGTTTTTCAGATGGGTTGACGATGAAGGAGTTCAAAAACAAGATATGATGCCAGAGTCAAATCGGATTACAGAGCAGCGACAAATGATGACATTAATGCAGATGGTTGTTGTTTTGTTAGGGGCTATATTATTCTTGCTTGTTCTAGTAGTATTCAAGATTTAATGGCAGTTGGTTGTTATGTCACTAGTATTGTGATCTTGAAATATGTAGCTTTTGATGGTATGAAATATGTAGCTTTTGATGGTATTTGATACTTTGGTAGGTATATGTAATGTTAGGATTGTAATTTGTAATGTATGGATGTTAATTGCAATGTATGGATGTTAATTTGTAGTGTATGGATGTTAAATGGGGTAGAAATTGGTTTGTTTTGTAAGTATATTGCATAAAATGGTATTGTAGTAAATGGATGTTAATTGCAATGTTGGATGATTAATTCCAGTAAATGGAATTTGGAGTACAAAAAAAGGTAAGTGGTATGAATTTGGAGTAGAAACTGTTGAATATACAATTGGTGAATGGTAATAATTGTAATTTCAGTAAATGTAACAAGTGGTATGAATTTGGAGTAGATTAAATTAAAATGGTAATTGGTATGAATTTGTAGTAAATGTTTAATTACATACTACCAATATGTATCCATTACAAGTGTAATTGGTATGAATTTGTAGTTGGTATGAATTTGTAGTACAAGTTTAATTAAAATGGTAATTGAATTAAAATGGTAATTGGTATGAATTTGCAGAAACAATTGGTGAATGGTAACAATTCTAAAAGATTGAACATAATATAGAAGGGGGTGTATCCATTGCATATAGTTTAATTACATACTACCCATATGTAGCAGCCATCCATTTGTACCAAAATGCCTAAACAATGCACAAAAAAGGCAACCTAAATGGTAACAATTGGATGCATGCTGCAATCAAAGTGCCAAAAAAACAAAGTTTACAAAAGTGGCAACCCTGCAATCAAAATGCCAAAAAACAAAGTTTACAAAAGTGGCAACTTATACCATTCCCACTACACCCCATCCCCCTTCTTGCTAACAAACTACTCCAAGTTGATTGGCTTTACAGAAGAAGAACCACCACCATCTTTGTCATAGACACCCTTCCTTAGCTTTATCTTGGTAATCCTCTCAGATGTTTTTCTTGTTCTCCTAACCATTGGGACAACCTCATGTCCTTCATCATCACCCTGATTTTCTTCATCATCACCCAATTCTTCAACACCACCTTCAGGTCCATCAGCATCACCTTCAGGTCCATCACCATCACCAATAGCTTCATGTCCAACACCTTCAGCTCCACCATCCAGACCAACATCATCATCAGAATGATGACCATCAATGAAATCATTTACATCCTAGTGTAAAAATATATAGTTAGTTCACAAAAATCACCAGAAAAATTTTTAATTAATAAAAGATAATAGGTCTTACCAGTTCAACTGGTGGGGAATCATCCAATTCCACTTGTACCCCTGGCATAGCTTCTATTTCTGCATTAACAATGTCTTCAAGTCCTACTTGTATCTTCTCTGGGAGAATATCATCCTCTTTGCCCTCAGTAAACTCAATAAAATCATTATCTTCCACCTCATTATCACCATTTAGTGGATTGGACTTTGTTTTGTTTGTGAAGTTAACCTCTTGTAAAATTGCATCAATACCTTGTTCAATTTCATCATTTATTGATTTAAGCTTCCAACCAATACTGGATCCTACTTGCCCAAAAGTTTCACTACCTTCCATCACACTTGTTTGGCTAGTTCCTCCTTCTTGCATCATATGACCATCCTGAATATGAATTACTGGAACTTCCTGCACAACACCTTCTTCCAGCACCACACATTCTTCCTGCACCACACCTTCTTTTACAACAGTAGGAACTTCTACAAATGGAACTTGTTGAACCACACTTTGACCCACATTATAACCTTCTTGCATGACATTTTCACCAATCACATTTTCACCCTCATCAGCAACTAGAACTTTTTGAACCACACTCTCTTGAGTACCTAAAGTTGGAGTATTATTCCCAGTTTTTGCAGAACTAATCCTCCCACCACCTCTCCTTGTGCACAACTTCTTCCTAGGTACATCAATACTATTTCTCCTAAATCTTTTAGAACCTACCTGTTGCTGATGTTTTCTTGGACTCATCCTTAATGTGTTATGTTTTCTTGGACTCCTCCTCACTATGTTAGAGCATGAAGGTTGACTTGGGACATTTGGCTGACCAGGAGTTGTAGTATTGTTTTCTCTCATTCTCTCATTTAGTGACTGGTTAGGAACAGATACATGGGGGATGGGATGTTTTCTTGGCCTTCCTGTCTTCTTTGGTGGGGGAGGCACATATTGTTTTCTCTCATTCTTACATGCCCTCTTGTTATGACCATATTCCAAACAATTACCACATCGGGTAGTTCTTGCAACCTTCACTTTTGTTGTTGAAAACTTGCTCTCCTTTTCACTGGCATGCCTCTTTCTTTTGGTAGCAGGCCTACCAGGCATCCTCCTATACATTGGAGGCAATGGATTAATGTACTCAGTTTGGGCCCAAAGATTGATGCCATCAACAGGTTCAATGTTTGTTGAGTAACACTGCCTAAATTTCTCTTTAGAGAAGTATGCATTGATGTATGCATCTGGTGTTTGATGGATAAAATTAATTGCTGCATTTGCATGCACACAAGGGATGCCAGCCAAATCCCACAGCCTACATGAACATGTCATATCATCTAAGTCCACCCTATAACTGTCACACCCTCTTCTGGCCTCAAACACATGCCCTTGACTATGAATTATTCCCCATAACCTACAATCAAGTATCTAGTTAGTAACAATAATTAATGATTAAGACAAGATTTAGAAAGCATAAAATAATACCTCATATTTTTCCCAAATCTATTCATTTTTTTCAAAAATTTTGGACAAACATTTGAATTCCACTTTTCACTTTCCTCATTCATGTAAGCAAACCTGTCCATGATATAAATCTGTATCTCTTCAAGCAAGGTGATCAAAGGTTTTTTCCTAGCATCCAATATTATCGAGTTGAAGCACTCTGAGATCCCATTCTCAACTGCTTCACATGTATAGTCTGATCCAAATAGGCTCTACACCATGTTTCTAGTTGCTTTGACATCAAGTATTGATATGCAGAAGGGTTCAATTTCTTGATGCTTTCCATATGCCTCTTGAAGTCACCTTGTGTGCAACTCATAGAGGCAGCCCAAAACAACTTCTTATATTCTAAACCTGTGAAAGCCTTTCTAAAGTTGGTGTAACGCCCACAGATTCGGCTAGTCAATTTAGAGACAATAAGCATCAAAAATGAGTTATTAATGGAATATTATTTATAAGGAGTAATATCAACCAATTGGTAGTATATTTTACAAGGGTTCCGTACATATAAAGAACGCCGAAATCCGAGTTATAACGAAGAAGTTATGGCTCGTCGAAGTTTTACGGCAAAACCGGCACGGCACCGAGAGACGTAAATAGTGAATTTACAATATAGGACTTTTTGGCCTTAGTGATCTAAATAGAAGTTGTAGTATACGTTAAACCGAGAGCGTGCATAAAAAGAACGCCCAAATCTGACTTCGTATGAGGAAGTTATGAATTTTCTAAGATTTGGCATAGCAGTGAACGACCCGAAACTCGAATTTTAGATCGAGCGGTTTTTGGTCTACGCAACCTAAATGAGAGTTGAAGATCTCATTTATAGGAAGTCAACGATAAAAAGACAGACGAAAACGGATTCCGTATGAAAGAGTTACGAATTTTTCGCGGTCATTTAACAGTATAATCTCCTCCTACTGTTAAATTTAATATCGGTCGAGAATTAGCCGACGGAATCAAAATGAAAGTTGTAGATCTTATTTTTGCCTACGCGTGGATATAAAGAACGTAAAAAACGGAGCTCGTATGCGAAAGTTACGGATTTTAGAAGTCGGAAGTGTGTTGTGCGAAAATGGGTGACGTGGCACAATCTTGGCCATTGCTTTCTCCCCATGTCTTGCCACCAGATGGTGACATGTGGCACCAAGTTCAGCCATATTTCACCCTATAAATAGAACCTCTCCCACCCTCATTTTCTTCACACCTTTCCCATTCTTTCTTCTCTCTACACTCTCTCTAAACCTCCCAAAACTCCCCTAGCGCTAGAAGAAAGCCCCGGAGCGCTCGACGGCTCCGAGAAGAAGAGCTTTCGGCTCGGAAGTTCTGCCCCTGCAGAGCCCGACTTCTAGCCAAACCTCCTCGTAGGTAAGATACGCCTACGTTATTTTAAATATAGTTTTTATTTAAATATAGTAATGTTATTAGGACCTTATAATAAATATTTGGGCTATTATTATGAGTTATATAAGTGTCGTTATAATATATTTTTAACCACTCGCGGTACGGGGAATCTGGTTAGGAGGGCCGTTTGGGTTGTTGGATTTCAGAAGTGCTATATGCCAAAATGATCATGCCCTCCGGTGTTCCATGTTTGGCCCCTGTCTCTACATAGTGGGTGAAAAGTATTGTGTTAACGCTTATATAATAGTAATAATAGTTAGACTATTAATTAGTATCGTCGAGCATTAGACTAAACTCTAGTGGTAATGATACTAGGTTCTGTCAAAGGAGTTGTTTAAAGTAAACGAAGTGCCGTCCGAGTACCGAGTCACCACGTTATCAGGTGAGTGCATAGTCTCTTTCATGAATATGATTTTAATACAAGTATTGATTGAAGTATTAATTATATGTTTATGTGCGAGTTAATTGATGTTGTCTGAAATACGTGTTAAAGAACATACCTGAAATACGTGTTAAAGAACATACCTGTTTATATAGTCATTCGTCGTTAATCCGGGAGAATGGATTTAAACATAAACACTTGTCCCTAATCCGAGAGTATGGAATGGGCACAATTATTGATCCGAGAGCATGAATTAGATCCGAGAGTATGGGTTAAGTAAGAGGTAAAATTTAAGGTCCGAGAGTATGGATAGTCTCGTTGTAAGGATTAACGGGGTGGGGTAAGAGTTGCTTATAGATATATGGTGAAATTGTATATTTTGTGAGTTCTAAATTTTATATATGATATAACATTGTGGGATTGAAATCTCTATGTACTCACCAGGTTTCCCAACCTAACCCACTCAAGCTTATTTGTATCACAGGTGTCGATACGAAGTCACATTATACTGAGAGATTATAGAGATGTAGATCACTAGTGTAAATGAATGTAAGTTCTGTTTATGCTTATGTTTCTGTATTGACGATGACATCCCAAATGTTTTAAAATGAATAAAAATACATTTCTTTGGAAATGCTTTGATAACGTATTTATCATGTTTTACTAGGAACAAATTCCGCAACATTTTCACTAAAAGAGGTACTCTGATTTTTATAAAGCATAAACAAAATCGGTCTTTTCTGGCCGTGAAAATGGGGATGTCACAGTTGGCATAAATGTGCCTAGCACAATTCCTGTGTTCAACATGAGGCAATATATCTTTCACAGATTCAAGCAGACCCTACAAGACAATCATTTAATTAGTTTAATAGAGGAGAAATATGTAATAAGATAACTATGCAATTAAGTAGAGGACAAGTATGTAAAATTTTACCTTGTGTTGATCTGATATCACTACCAAACCTCTTCCACTATCAAGATCTAAATCATCCCTTAGAAGCTCAAGGAACCATGTCCAGTTAGCCTTATTCTCAACATCCACAATAGCCCAAGCAATTGGGTAGACCTGATTATTGGCATCTCTACCCATGGATGTCAACAACTCACCCTTTATTGCTCCCTTAAGAAAGCACCCATCCAAACCAATAACTCTTCTACACCCTCTTTTCCAGCCTTCACATATAGCTTTGAAACCAATATAAAACCTATGAAAATAGTTTATCCCATCTGGATTGACAGTTACACACACCTTACATGTAGAGTCTGGATTAGATCTTAACAACTCTTATGCATAATCCCATATTCTGGCATAATGTTCAGTCAATTTACCTTCAATTAGCTCCTTGGCCCTACGACATTGGCCTATAGACACAACACACCTAAACCTTTGTCTGATGTCAGTAATCATCTCTTTAAGCTTCACCTTAGGTTTATTTGCAATTTCAGTTATGTAGTGTCTACCTATCCATTCAAGAGTAACCATAGAGCCAAGTTTGAACTTCCTACCACAAACATGAGTAGCTTCTAAAGTCTTGATTTGAATAGATCTTTCATTGAACATCCATGAGGCATATAGTCTGAAAGGGCAACCATTATCCTCATTTCTTTTCCCACATCTTACAAGTATTCTTGTACTGTCACACTTCTCAAAGTAGAGTTGATACCCATTGTGGACTGCGTAGTTTTGGATACAAAACTTCAGCTGTGTAACATTCTCAAACATGTCACCAAGTTTTGGTTCCATTTTGTCCCATCTTGTTTTTGGATCATGTATTTTGTACTTGTTTATCACATGTTCTTGCTCTTCTTCATCTTCATCACTTTGTAAGTCACGACCATGGTACACTTGTGCTCTTACATCATTAGTCAAACTAGAGTTTCTAATATTTTCATCAGTTAGTAACACATTAAGAAATGTATCCTTACACTTGTCCAGTGGAGTAATGAACTCTTCGTCAGGTTCATGATCCATGTAGATGCCATGAAGCTCAAAATCCATCTCATTAAGACCAGAGAAAGGCTCGCGTAAACCAAAAAATGGGTATGTGTTGCCTTCGTCTTCTGAATCCCAATCTATCATAACAACCTGAAAAAACACACATTATCGTTATTCGATAACCTATGAAGAACAAAGAACTGTAATAACACAATCTTCAAAGAAATTACACATACCCTGTGAAATCGACTCTCCAATAACCTAATCTTCTTCAAAAAGCCCTAATTTTGCGATGAATGATGTAACGATTATGAGAAAGTATACTTTTACGTGCAAAAGGTTGAGATAAGGAGTAAACGGACGTAACAGATGTAACGGACGTGCCAACTCCTCAATTAAGTGCCAAATCAGCACATGGGTAACCGGCTACTAAGGGTCCAACCTGTTAAATGAGATATTTGATACATTTAGTGAAAGTATCCGACTTTAATACCCCAAAAACTCATCCAATGGTAAAACCGACAGTTTTTGGAAAACTTAAGGGCTTTTATGACAATTTCCCAAATCATCATTGTTTGGGCAACATCCCATGCTCCATGAGAGCATTCACTGTTATTTAATACATTTGTATCAATGAGTTTCTTTTGATGAGAAATTTCTATAACTTTACTATATGTTGTCAGGAAAAATAGGTTTATTGTTGTGTATTGTCGACTCCTTATTAAGCAGTTATAATTGTTGGAACCCATATCGATTGACTAGGTGCGAAATAATATATATCTCGAAGATAAACTGATATAAAAACCAATCAACACAAAGATGAGTAATTTGATAGTTTTATATATACAAAAAGCCAAATATTACAGGAAGAACGAGTGGTTAAGGAATGGAATTCACAGCCACACACTCTCTAATTTAAAGGCAAAATTATGGATTCATTTAATTATTTTTTGAATTCATATTATAATATATGTGAATACACGTTTAGAAAAGTTGAATCATCAAAAAATACATGTTAGAAAACAAACTCTTACATTACGAATAGTCTGCTAAATAATATTATACATTGAAACACGCATTCTCCGACCATCGGTTGGGAAATCAACTAACACTTTGAAGGAAAGTGAAAATACAAATCTTTTCACTCGTACATACTAATATATAGCCAGGACCTTTAGCATCTTATCCTAAATACACGACATGATTTTTTTTTTTTTTTTTTTTTTTTTTTGCATTTTGATAAGTATTGTGATGATATTTCTAATTCTATAGATGATCCAATAAGAAGAAAGAATCGAGATCACAACAAATGTTGTGATGATATCGACTTGGGAATGACATACTCATGTGATGTATGGAAACACAATCGAATCAAGATCATAATGAACAACCATCAATTTGGAGGAGGCCAAAATCATATTGCAAAAAACCAAAGAAATACCTAAAAATATAATATCCAAACCCTTAAGTAGACCGAAATTAGTTGCCTCATGATTCTCTGGTGAAAATCAATTATGTATGTTGGCTGAACGTTACGTCTCGAAAAAGCAAAACATTACCACTCGTAAAGAATAAATTATACCCTTAGAATGTTTATCTACACTTCTTTGTCTTGAAAAAACACTTCTACAAGTCCATAGGGCCGTATTCAAGGTTCTAGTGGTTACCGAAAAATGTTGTTGTGTGTTGATACATTTCCGCCTTGTATAGTTGTATTGATATTTTAGTGAATAACTCTCTTTTATCACCGAAAGCAAACACCTAAATCACCTTTTTGCTTATACCATGTACGAGAGAACGAACATATATTTATGTCATCTTGTATTATTGTTTTTGTATGTTTGTTTGTTACACATGTAATAAGAATCATTAATAAAACCCAAAAAAAAAAAACAACAACAACATTACCGTTTTAGGCCATGCTGACCCCTACTAGACCTTTAAAAGAAATGATCCACACATCTTCACATGAAGATTAAAACCAATCAACAAAATTGGAATAGAACATTAGATATAAAGAAAATACTAAATACATGAAAAAATATACAAGCATGTATTATAGCATCACCACTTTTCTGTATAATTTTTTACTTCGATAGTGATACAAGTTATTTGCAACCAACCCTGTATTTGTATTCTTTCAAAAACAAAAATATTTGACCTTATAAGTCAACAAAATTTATAACATCTGACACATCAAGAGCAAAAGATCAAAATCGCGGGTGTAAGCTACAACTCGAATCTTTACAAAGCATGATTGAGCATCATGGCTAATAAATCTATGTATGAAGATGATAACAAATGTTGAATAACAGAGAAAATCTAGTGTGAAACTCTGTAAAAACCCCTAAATTCTAATGTGGCTTCTACATGTATTCAAGAATTTGTTGGGATCATATTGCTAAATGGATTTACTAAACCAGAAATCTGAGAAACTTGCCTCCTGTTTCATAAATAGCAAGAAAAACTCATTTTGATGCAAAAATGGAACATCATCATGTTTTTGATTTGACACCAAGTTTCCTCTGCCTTCTAGAAGCAACCCTGTAGTCAGATACTTGAATCCTGCAAAAAAGATTAGATAAAGCTGATGAGATTGGCAAAAAATTAAGTTAAGCCCGATAATTTTATAATTATAATGAAAAATATGCTATCAACTTAAAGTGCCCATAGTAATTATCGATGCCAATTGCTTTTGGTTCACAAGATTCCTTTGTTTTATCACCCAAGGGCATTTTATACCATTATCAAGAAAGGGAATAAAAAACCTCATAAAATCAATAACTTCAGTATTTACCTTCTAATGATCATGTTTTATCTGTAGGCCCCACGCTACCACATCTTTCCAAAAAAAATCAGATGTTACAAATTTGGTGCAGGACTTCTGTAAAAAAATTGACCACATAATTAGTCAATGCTCTTTGAAAAGCATAATCATAAAACTAAGACACTGTAATTAACCAACCAATTTTATACCTATTTCCATGGCTGGATTGCACCTCATGTTTATCTACAGAGGGCAAAGATGTCATTTTTCATGTAGAAAAGCTTCAACTAATTGTCTTCCCTCTATAAAGTTTCAATCTTTCAACAACCTCATGAATATCACAACTCCCATCAACTGCTGACAATTCTTTTGCCAACATTACATATGTCTGAAAATTAGGAACTCTGTTTTTTAATTCCATTATATGGATAAAATATAAGCAAGTGTCCACGTCAGCATCCTTAAAAACCCCATCAATCAAAACAGTCCACACAATCTCATCAGTGTCCCATTGTCTATCAAGCATGTCTTCAAATAACACAACTGCTTTACTCACTTGTCTTTCTTTACATAAAGCAGAAATAAGAAGTTTATATGTTTTGATATCAGGTTCAAACCCTTTTACCTTAATCAAATCAAAAAACTCTAAAGCAGTTTCCACTTTTGAGTTTTTACAGTGTGTGTTTATGAGAGAGAGATAAATATTTCGATCAGGATTCATAGATTTTTCTTCCATGTTCTTGAACAACTCAACTGCTTCTATACTCTTTCCTTCTTTACACAAACCAACAATCATGGTGCTATAGGTGTCAACTGTGGGCCCACACCCGTATTCTGACATTTTAACTAAAAGATTAGTAAAGGTTGGATCTTTTTCATGTGGGCCCGTGTTTTTTTCAAAAAGCAACCGACTTTCTGTTTCTAACCCTTTTAACAAGACTTGAAAAGTTCTGTAATTCGGTTTGCATGCTTTATCAACCATCTTTTTAAAAACTGAAAATGAAGGATTTATTTGATTTAGTGACACATATCCATTGATCAATGAAGTATATGTCACATAATCAGGAGTGATTCCTTTCTTCTCCATTTCTTCAAGTAATATTTCTGCTTCATTTGCTTTTCCTTCCAAACATAACCCGTTGATCAATGAACTATAAGTCAACAAATTTGGTGTGCAGTTTTTCTTTTCCATTTCTTGGAAAATCTTGAAAGCAAGATGAACATTACCATTTCTACACAATCCATCGATTAAAGTTGTGTAGGTAATCACATTTGGAATCACATCTTTTTCCACCATTTTCTCACATAATCTTTCTGCTTCATGTAATCGATTCCTTTTTGACAAACAAGATATGATTGCATTGTAGGTTTCAACCTCAGCCCTACAATTATCTGCTTCCATCTTTTCCAATAACACAATTGCAGATTCTACTTCCCCCTTTTTGCAATAACCGTTTATTAAAATGGTATAATGGACTTTATTGGGTGTCAATTTTTGATTTACCATTTCATGAAAAAGATTCAAACCTCCATCAAGATCCCCTGTTTCACAGAACCCTGAAATAAGTTCACCATAAGTCCACTCATCTGGTTTACACCCGTTTGCTTTCATCAAACTCAATAACCTCATTGCATTCTTTAAATCATTCTGTTTCAAGAATCCAATAATTAGTGTGTTATATGAAACAACAGTTGGAAACGGGCCTACTTTGGTCATTTTACTCAAAAGAACCATACCCTTTTGGAAATTTTTCATCAAACACAAAATGGTAATCATTTGATTGTATGTTTCGGTATTTGGCATACCATTTCTCTCCATCCAATCAAAGATCATAAACAAACCATCAAACCTCCCTATTTGACCTAACTCATATATCAAAGCATTATAAGTAACCACATTTGGAATCAAACCCTCTCTCAACATCTTATGGTAAAATCCAAGTGCCACCTCAGCTTGTCCTATACGAAACAAGCCACTGATAAGAGCTGTGTAGTTTTGCACATTTAGAACACAACCTGTTTTCGTCATCATAACTACAAGATCAATGGCCTTTTTTACTTGACCAAATGCACATAGTGAGGAAATTGGAACAGTGAATGTATAAACAGTGGGTTCAATGTTTTTGTCCATCATTTCTTTAAGCATGTCCAATGCCTCATCAATTCTTCCCTCTTTGCATAACCCGTTTATAAGATTTGTATATGTTGCTGAATTTGGTTCACAATCTTCTTTTATCATGCGATCAAATACCCTAAAAGCAGTTTCTAAATCTCTATTCCTACAATAACCAAGAATCATTGAACTGAAGGTGAATACATCCGGATACAAATCATACTGACTCATCTGATCTAAAAAAGATTCCGCCTCTTGAACTTT